CCTCCACCCGCACCCTACCCACACTCACCCCCAACCTCCACCTCCCCACCCCCACTTCGTAACAAACATCCTCATCTGTTATTTCATCGTGGGTCACGACCTCCCCCCCCCTCCCCTCCCCCTCGACCCTATCAGCCCCTTTTCTTTTTCACAACCAAAACACAATACTTCCTGGTTCGTTGACCTGGCATGACCTCTCCCCTGTTCGCTTGAGGCTATTGTCCCTTCAGAGGTCATCCGTACTTTCACTTGCCCTTCCTTACCTTACCTCTCCTCTTCCCTTTTTTCTTATTATTATTATCATTTATTTCTTTTAATTTTACTAATATCATCTAGTATAAATTATCGTATCACCATAATGGCTTTAATCCTAGGTCAACCACAGACATTTCCCCGGAGGTCAAACACCCAATTCAAAAAGGTCAACAAAGGTCAGGGTCATGCTGAGAAGAGGAGGGGGAGGGAAGGAGGGAGGGGAGAAGGGAGGTATTCCAATCTAACGGAAATCATACCCCACTAATACCACAAGGTCGAAAATCTACTTCCTTCCAAGGGTAAAATGATCCTTACAGCGGCCAGACAGAAGGTGATCGGTAACTAAGACTCTTTTTAAGAAGTGGGATCGTATAAAGAGGCGATTTGGTCCCTTCTTTGCCACACTCACCCGCGGACTCTTCAGGGACAACTACCGACCGCTTCTGCACGCCAATCTACACCAACTTCTTAAACATGAAGGTTAGTAAAATCAACGTTTTCTTCCCATGTTGTATAATGAATGAAAAAAAAAACACATTACCGTGTTGATATTATGGTAGAAAAACCCACGATGCACAAACTAGATTTACTGCTGTCTCACTTGTTTCAATAAATCTAGTTTGTGCATCGTGGGTTTTTCTACCATATAATGATATAATATTTAGTCACGTTTTATTGTTCATTACGAGCTTTCTCACGCACATAAATCCTAATTTTCTATAAATTTCCCAAGAATTATCTACTTTTGGCGAATTGATCAGATACATTCAAACAATGGCTCTCTAAAAGGCATAATCAAAAGTCTATTACACGTTTCGATTGTAAAATGTGAAGAATCATCGAATTTACAGAGGATATCACTCTTCAGAAACAGTCAAGCAAATGTTGACTTCCAAGCGATGTTCGTTAAGCGTCCAGTGTTATTTTCGCGTTTAAAATTTTATTCGCCTTTTCAGTGTTATTTTTACCAGTCTATTTCTAACGTCTCTTGTTTTTCACGTTTATTATCCCCTTTTCGAGCTCAACGTAACTTTTTTGCGTTATTTTTGTTTCGACGCTATTTCTACGTTTAATTATTTTCCAGTCCGAAGTTATATTTTGCTTTCAATGTTGTTTTTTGCTTCGGTATTAACTTTGGTCATTCAATTATTTTATATATACTTTGACACTCAGCATTTATTTCCACGATCAGCATCTCTGTTCACGATGAATGTTATTTTTTCACATTAATTCTTACTATTCCTTACTGTTTTGCTAAAAAGATCCCCATTCAATATAAACGTATTTTTTTCCCTTCATTTTTTCCTCTTTGTAGATGTTCGTTTCATCTGTTGGCGTTGGCTTCGGCTGCGAATTCCATGTCCTTTTTCAGTCTCTCGTTATTTTTCACGTTCCATTCTATCCATCCCATTCCAAAAACATCATCCACTCTTCCTATTTTCAACCAAAATAAAAATTCCCATCCAATATCATCCTCACCTATTCTAACTATCATCATTTTATCCATTTTATTTTCTTTCCAGGTGTTCGTTTTCTCCGTTTTGCTGGCGTTGGCTTCCGCTGCGCCGCAAGGAAGGGACGATCTGACTAAACATGAGGAGGAGACCCAGTATGTGCCGGTGAGTCGAGAAGCATTTACGTTCACATCCCTCGGATCATTAATCATCAGTGATAATCTGTAATATGTTTCGACGTGTAATTTATTACCGTGTTAAATGACTACTTCTACACATCTCCGTATATGTATGTGTGTGTATGCACGTATATACATATATACATATATATATATATATATATAATATATATATATATATATATATATATATATATATGTGTGTGTGTGTGTGTGTGTGTGTGTGTGTGTGTGTGTGTGTGTGTGTGTGTGTGTGTGTTGTGTGTGTGTGTGTGAATATATAAATATATAAACATATAAATAAATAATATAAATATATAACATATATAAATATATAAATATATATATATATATATAATAAACACACACTAAAAACAAACAACTCTGACCCCCTCCCCCCTCCCTCCTCCCCCCAGCAACCCTTCGCCTACAACTACAACATCGCCGACGAGATCGGGGCGGTGCGGGCGGCCCACGTGGAGGAGGCGACGGCGACGGCAAGTGCGCGGATCCTACTCCTACGTGAGGCCGACGGAGTCCTGCAGACGGTCAGTTGAGCGTCATTTGTGATTTTTGGTTTTCCATTCGACAGACCATTTATCTTTCTTTCTC